GGAGGGCAGGGGCTCAGTGGGTAAGCACAGCTGCTGAGGCAGGATCCTCTCCCACCTCTGGGGCAGCGCTAAGGGTGTACAACTGATGGCTTAGGCGGGGAGCAGGACTAAGCCGTCAGTTGGACATGCCCCAAGGGCTCCTGGACTGTGAGAGGGTGCAGGCCGAACTGAGGGACACTTCCCCACCAGTGCACAAGTTTTGTGCACCGGGCCTCTAGTTAATATTATAATGAAATGATGATGTTAGTGGAGGAACTGCTGTACTTCAGTTGTCATGAATACCAGGTACTTTACTGTCCTGAAGGATATAGAAACAGCCGAGTTTGAAAATATAACAGCTTAGGACTATTTAATATGATAATGTAGTAGCTTTTTAATAATAAATGTCATCTTTCTTCGTGTGTGCATGTATCTCCCCTACTCATTAATGTGATTTGGTCCTAGTAGTAATACTACCTGTTCCTACAAATGTGCTGCACCTGCCCTGGTTGTTGTGACTCATTGGTTGAGCGTTAACCCATGAACCAGGAGGTCACGGTTCAATTCTTGTTGAGGGCACATGCCCTGGTTGCAGGCTTGATCCCCAGTAGTGGGCGTGCAGGAGGCAGCCGATCAGTGATTCTGTCTCATCATTGATGTTTCTATCTCTTTCTTTCTCTTGCTCTGAAAAAAACGAACATACTAAAAAAAAAAAAAAAAATAGAAAAAGAAAAACTGTCAGATGTGCTGCACCTCAGTAACTGTGAACAGGGAGATCTATATCACCAAAGTGTTAGACTTATGCTCTGAACGAGATTACTAATATTAATCAATACTGTAGATTGTAAGGAAGATCTGGGGGGTTGCTTCTATAAAGTTTGGTCTGTAATATATATGGTTTCGATTGCTTTTTCACTTAAAGAATGCAGAGCTCTGTATAGTTAGATTGCTTTAGAATCGCAGTTTCAACAATTACTAATTGAACCTGAGTAAAATGACTTACTTTGAGAATTTGACTTTCTTTTGATGATAATAGTACTTACTTCACAGTGCCATTGTGGAGGTTAATGCATGAAAAACACAGCATGGCACAGAGTAGGTAGATTCAATACATGTTAGCTGTTAATAATTATTTTCTGTCTCCACGGTTTTGGTTTTCTAAGCTTAATGTTTCTAGAAGTCTTCCTGATTAGAGGAGTGTTACTGTTTTTGAAAAGGAAATAGATTAAAATAGTCATACTGAAGATTTTATGTGTCTGGGGACAGTGAGAATTTGCAGCATATACAGGGTTGGGCAAAAGTAGATTTACAGTTGTGAGTACACAGAGTTTATTTTTGTATTATTATTTATTGTATTATTTTCCATACAAACAACTGTAAACTTACCTTTGTCCCACCCTGTATAAATAAGGAGATTTATTTATTTCCTGGGGTAGATTAGTTGGTTGTTATAGCTGTTTAGGAAAGGTTTTTCTTAGAGGTTTTAGAAAACACTATTTCTTGAGGTGGTTCTGTAATCCTTTTATATTTTGATTGAATGCTAAAACATTTAAAAAGGAGAGAGGGGTAAAAGATGAATTAGAATTATGGCATATGATATTTTACTTGGAGAGAAAAAGAAAAAGAAAAGGAGGGTAGGAGTTGTAGACAAGCTATTTTAGGGCAGGAAATTAATGTAACATGGTGAGGTTCATGTATATTGCAGGCTTAGTATCAAAACGAGTGGGTAACCTGTAATTTAACCGAGGGCAGTACTTGGAGAGCAGGAAGTTAGGTTTTGTGCCATGGTCTGAGAAAGCCTATATTCACCTTTTTATATATGAGATTAAGTGCTCTTAAAAGAGAGAGAGAGAAAATGCAATTTTTCTAGAATATTTGTTAACCATAAATTTAATCATTCTTTACTTCTTTCTATCAAATAAATTATGCTATTCTTTGAAATATTTTAGAGTTTTATTGAATATCTCTACCTTTTTTATATAGTAAAACATTAATGGATGGAAAATCCTTTTTTGGTAGCTTTTGTGAATGTACCAGTGCATTTGTAAGATAGTCCTGGACATTGAACTTCTCTAACACCCACAGACCTCATTTACAAAGGAGAAGAGCATTTAGAATGTTTAAATATAATCAGCTGAATTGTTTCCTTCCGAGAATTTATCTGGATATGTTAAGTGTGTTTAAAATTTAATGCTGTTAAACCCACACAGGAATTTTCACTTGTTTTAAATGCTTTAAAAACAGATTGTACTTTTTGATAACTGGTTTAGTAAAAAGATCATGTGAAACTCAGATATGATTTTAAAAACTAGTAAAGGTTTCATTGCCTTTTTTTAAAAAGTGACTCCTATTTATGTCTCAGTCATGAGTGCCTTGGTCCTTGTCTTGCATACAAAATTACCCTCTCAGCAGTACATGGAACTTGTTGATATTGGCAGCAATAGGTCAGTGACTTGACCATTAAAGCAGTGCTAGTTTTTCATTGAAGATAAGAGAGATCTCTGTTGCCTATTGAAATACGTTAGATTCCTGCCAATTGAGAAAACTAGTGTACTTTTTGTGGTAGATATTGAATTAGTATGGTTAGAATCTTTGACTTTTTGAAGTAATGTTTGATTGCTTTATATTAAAAAGTT